CTCATTAATTAATTAATCGTTAAATATTAAATTTACTTTATTATTCCTTCTATCGTTTAGTTGAACTGTACAATTTTATTTTACATTTAAACGCTAACTCACCTCCCAGTCAATCGAAATAATTTTTATTTCAAATAGATTGAGACTGACACCAGTTTTCCTTATCGCTGACGTACAGATACTAATGTTGATATAGTTTGTATATGGCTTGTAACCTCATGAGTAGTTACGATAGCATTAAGAATAAGGATGTGTGACGTTTATGCAAATAAGACAATTAATGATAAATTACATGTAAAAAAAATATGAGCGATTTTTTTTCCTTGTAAGGTATCTGTACTGAAAATGTAAAGGATTCATGATGTCAGTGTAAAAAAAAAATACAAGAAATTGGGAATTTTGATTTATTAATAATATCAACGTGGCTCTTCAAAATGGAAGGAGTGTGAGATAGCAAATTCTATTTTTATTTCGTTATGGTTTTGTTCACAAAAGATTACCTAATGGTAATCAAAATATGGTTTTACATGTCTAAAATAAATATGTACACTTTCTCCATTGGATATTTCGATACCTGAATAAATGCTGATCATTCTTGGCAGTTGCAGAAAATGAATGCGCACAGAAAGATTAGAAACTTTTCCACAACCCAGAAGACTTTGTTCTTGTGTCTCCACCTCTCATCCTTTGTATCCAGTTGATAACTTCCGTGTCTTCTGCTCAACGTAGTTGGTTTTAAGACTCAAAGTTCTTGAAAGGTGAACCAGAATACGAAGCTAGAGAAGATCAATTTGAAGATTCTCTTCTGCATCAAATACTTTCACTAAAACTTATTCTAATACGGTAAAACTTTAGAAATTACTACTACTTTAGAAGTTTTCATATAAATTTAATATATTATTCTTAATAACAGGAGTAGTAAGGTAACTATTTTTAATTGTGACAAGAGAGAGAGACTTACTTTTCAATGTTGGATATTACTTTCTGTAAAACAACTCTAAATAGTTCTATTCGTTCATCAACAATTGGGTATTTTGTTAGTTGTTTCCAAGACGTCCTTCTTCGATCCCTTAAACTATCAAACAGTTTAAATTGTTCCCTACTAACACAAAAGAACAATGTACCATCAATATCGGGATTAATATGTCTATACATAAAACAATTTAGAAAATGGTACAGAAGAAAAAAAACTATGGAACATTAATTATTTGTCTTTGTAAGATATCTGTACTGAAACTGTAAAGGATTCATGATGTCAGTGTAATGAGGCCGTTAAAAGTAAGGATAGGAAAATTGGGAATTTAGGAGTGATTAATGTAATCACTTCGGTTTTCCAAAGGAGTGTGAGGTAGCAAATTATTTTTATTTTATTATGGTTTTGTTTAGTTATTTTATTCTTTCTATCCTTTAGTTAATCTGTCAATTTTTAGTTTACACTTAAACGCTAACTCGCCTCCTAGCTAATCGCGTTAACTTTCAGATTCTACGAGTTATCAGACTGACACCAGTTTCCCATATCGGTGACGTACAGATATTTAACATTGATAAATTGTATGTAAATAATGAACACATGAAGTAATCTGTTCTAACTAGTCATTTAATTATTGCAGCTTAGCTTGTCTTTGAATTCGAGGATTTCCCGTAACCTTAGCCGGAAGCTAGAGAAGCTGAAGATATAAGAACATGAACGAAATTTCATTGTAAGGTACTTAAACTGGGCAGGATTCATGATGTCAGTATAACGAGGTCGTTAAAAGTAAGGATACGAAAATTGGGAATTTAGGAGTGATTAATGTAATCACTTTTTCGAAAGAGCAAAGAATGTGAGGTAGCAAATTCTATTTTTATTTCGTCCTGGTTTTGTTTTCAGTTCATTTATTATTCTTTCTATCGTTTAGTTAACCTGTGAAATTTGTTTTACATTTAAACGCTACCATGCATTCTAGTTAGTTATAACATTTTTAAGTTTGTAAGGGTAATGAGACTGACATCAGTTTTCCTTATCAGTGACTTTATTTATGTTGCAAAAGTGTGTAAACGTTTAGTTTTTTGTTTTAAATAAAACTGTCATGAGCTTCAATAACTTGGTGCACCCATAGATGGTGAAGTGTTTTCATATATTTTAAGTTTTATGACACTGTATGCAGACCATTTGATAGTTTATAAGGGGTCAAAAAAAGGACTTTTTGTAAACAAAATATCCAACATTACCTGAAGCCGTAGGTGAACGAACAGAAATATCTAGAAATGTTATACAGAAGGCAATATCCAACGTTGAAAAACATGAAGATACAGCGAGAAGCTTGTACCAGTTAGTATATTTCGAACACAATTAAAAGTAGGTAACTCGCTACTATCGTTAAGAATACATCAAATATGTTCTGGAGTTACTCTTACTGAACTTTATTCTAAGACTGAATGAATAGTTGAAAGTTACGACTTTTGTTTCTCCATTTTTATATAAATTAGATTATATCGTGTTAATGGGACAATTTTACGCTTCTAAAATGAATTTTTCCAGAATTTTTTTTAAACACCAGAAGAATTGTTCATCGTCCTATGCCGTTCCAGAAAATTTAAATGGCACAAGAAGACTTTAATATTGCGGCTTCCCTTCCATCAAAATAAAGGACTTATTTTGGTGTGTCCACTTCTCATCCTTCGACGTAACGAGCTGATGAGTCATTTATGTCCTCTGCCTAATGTAAGTGGTCTTTGAATTCGAACACTTCCTGTAAAGTGAACCAGAGCAGGAAAGTAGAGAAGATGAAGATTCATAATACTTATATAAATAAATAGAAAAAGGAACAGAAGAAAAACGTGTATAAAACATCGAATAACAACAAAAACACTTCATCGCTATCTCACGTGAGAAAAGTCATTGAAACTTCACGTGAGAAAAGTCATTGAAACTCATGACAAAGTCTTTATTCAGAACACTAAATTAAAATTTTACAACTTTAATATCTGCAAGTCACCGGTAATGGAAACTGGTGTCAGTCTCATAACTTTTAGAAACTTTAAAATGACGTAATTGATTAGAATGCGAAGTAGCGGTTAAACGTAAAACAAATGTTACAGGTAAAATAAACGATGAAAGAATAATAAATGAACAGAAAACAAAACCATAACGAAATCAAAGTAGAATTTGCTACCTCGTATTCCTTCCCCGTTCGAAAACCGACGTGATCACATTAATCACTGCTTATAAATTCCCAATTTTCGTATCCTTACTTTTAACGACCTCATTATACTGACACCATGAATCCTGCCCAGTTTAAGTACATATACCTTACAAAGAAAAGGCGTAGTGTTCTCAGATCTTCAGCTTCTCTACCTTCTGCTGAGATTCAGGTTACGGGAAGTTAAGTTCAAAGACCAGCTAAGTTGCTATAATTAATTAGATGAAGAGATTTGAAATAATGTAATCATTATTTATATACTCATTACCAACATTAACATCTATAAGTCACTGCTATGAGAAACTGGTGTCGGTCTCATAATTAAAATTTTAAATTGATGTGAATAACTAAAATTTAAACTAAAAATTCACAGATTGACTAAATGATGATAGAATAAATAAATAAACAAATCCAAAACTAAATAAAATGAAACTTTCTACTTCACACTATTTCCCCTTTAGAAGAAGTGATTAAATTAATCAATTTAAAGTCCTTACTTGTGACGTTATACCGACTTCCTTTACAGTTTAAAGTACAGATACAGTTCAAGGATGAAACCATTTTCTTATATATTCGATTTTATCTTTCGGTTCTAGTACAGGTTAACGAAGTTCGATTTCTAAGACCAGTTAATCTGTAATAATTAAATAACAAATCATGTACATACTCTTTTCCAATATTAATATCTGTACGTCACTGATATGGGAAACTGATGTCAGTCTCATAATTCATATAAATTAAAAATTGGTGCGATTAGGTAGAAGGTGAGTTAGCGTTTAAGAGTAAATAAAAATTCAGAGCTTAACTAATCGATAGAATGAATAATAAACGAACGGTAAAGAAATCCATAACAAAATAACAAAAGAATATGCTATCTCACACTCCGCTTCCTAGCTAATCGCATTAACTTTTAGATTTTACGAGTTATCAGACTGACACCAGTTTCCCATATCGGTCATGTACAGATATTTAACATTGGTAAATAGTATGTAATTAATCTGTTCTAACTAGTCACTTAATTATTGCAGCTCAGCTTATCTTTGGACTCGAGGATTTTCCGTAACCTGAGCCAGAAGGTAGACAATGTGAAGAAGGAAGAATATGAACGAATTTTCATTGTAAGGTATATGTACTTAAACTGGGCAGGATTCATGATGTCAGTATAACGAGATCATTAAAATGAAGGATACGAAAATTGGGAATTTATAAGGAGTGATTTAATATTATCACATTCTTTGTCTAAAGCGAAATTGACACCAGTTTCCATTACAGGTGACTTGCAGATATTAAAGCTGCAAAATTTTTAATTTAATGTTCTGAATAAAGACTGTCATGAGTTTCAATGAATTTTCTCACGTGATATAGTGATCAGATGTTGTTGTTGTTGTTGTTGTTCGATGTTTTAAGTTTTTTATACACGTTTTTCTTCCGTTCCCTTTTCTATTTATCTATATAAATATTAAACTGTTATTGATGGCATATTTTTCTTTCGTGTTAGTCGAAAGTTCTGGCGACTGGCTCATTCATACACTGTATGCAGGCTATTTGATAATTTACAAGGAGTCAAAGAAGGACTTTTTGGAAACAATATCCAACATTACCTAGAACCGTAGATGAACGACCATAAATATCTAGAAATGTTATACAGAAGCCAATATCTAACGTTGAAAAACATCGAAAGCTACAGCGAGAAGCTTAAAATCGTTAGTCTCTTTTGGACAAAATTAAAAGTAGGTAACTCGCTACTATCGTTAAGAATACATCAAATATGTTCTGGAGTCAATCTTACTGAATTTTATTCTAAGATTGAATGAAAAAATTCAAAGTTACGACTTTTGTTTTTCCATTTTTATATAAATTTGGTTATATCGTGTTAACAGGACAATTTTACGTTTCTAAAATGAATTTTCCAGTGAATTTTTTTTCTACACCAGAGGAAATGGTCATCGTCCTATGCCGTTGCAGAAAATTTCAATGGCGTAAGAAGGCTTTCAGATTGCGCTCTCCCCTCCATCAAAATAAAGGACTTATTCTGGTGTGTCTACATCTCATCCTTCGACGTAACGTACTGAAGAGTCGTGTATGTCCTCTGCTTAACGTAAGTGGTCTTTGAATTCGAACACTTCCTGTAAAGTGAACCAGAGCAGGAAAGTAGAGAAGATGAAGATGCATGAACATGAATTATTTCTTTTTGTAAGGTATCTGTACTGAAACTGTAAAGGATTCTCGGTGTTGGTATAATGAGGCCGTTAAAAGTAAGGATACGAAAATTGGGAATTTAGGAGTGATTAATGTAATCACTTCGGTTTTCGAAAAGAGTGTGAGGTAGCAAACTATTTTATTTTGTTATGGTTTTGTTTAATTAACTTATTCTTTCTATCTTTTAGTTTATCTGTCAATTTTTACTTTACACTTAAACGCTAACTCTCTCATAACTTTTAGAAAATTTAAATGACGTAACTGATTAGAATGTGAAGTAGCGTTTAAATGTAAAACAAATGTAACAGGTAAAATAAATAATAGAAAGAATAATAAAGGAACAGAAAACAAAACCATAACGAAATAAAAGTAGAATTTGCTACCTCATATTCTTTCCCCGTTCGAAAACCGAAGTGATCACATTAATCACTGCTTATAAATTCCCAATTTTAGTACCCTTACTATTAATGACCTCATTATACTGACACCATGAATCCTGCCCAGTTTAAGTACATATACCTTACAAAGAAAAGGCGTAGTGTTCTCAGATCTTCAGCTTCTCTACCTTCTGCTCAGTTTCAGGTTACGGGAAGTTAAGTCCAAAGACCAGAAAAGTTGCTATAATTAATTAGATCAAGAGATTTGAAATAATGTAATCGTTATTTATGTATTCATTACCAACATTAACATCTACAAGTCAATGCTCTAAGAAACTGGTGTCGGTCTCAATTAAAATTGATGTGAATAACTAAAATGTAAACAAAATTCACAGATTAACTAAATGGGGATAGAATGAATAATAAACAAATCCAAAACAAAATAAAATGAAACTTTCTACTTCACAATATTTCCCCTTTAGAAGAAGTGATTATATTAATCAGTTTAAAATTAAATCCTTACTTTTAACGTTATACCGATATACTTCAGTTTAAGTAAAGATACAGTTCAAGGATTAAACCATTTTCTTATATATTCGACTATCTTTCGGTTCTAGTTCAGGTTAACGAAGTTTGCGTTCTAAGACCGATTAATTTGCATTAATTAATTAACAAATCATGTACATACTATACCAATATTAATACCTGTACGTCATTGATAGGGGGAACCGATGTCAGTCTCATAGTTCATACAAATTAAAAATTGATGAGATTATGTAGAAGGTGAGTTAGCGTTGAAGTGTAAATAAAAATTTAAAGCTTAACTAAACGATATAATGAATAAAGGAACGGTAAAGAAATCCCTAACAAAATAACAATAGAATATGCTATCTCACACTCCTTTCGCTTTGGACAAAGAATGTGATAATATTAAATCACTTCTTATAAATTCTCAATTTTCGTATCATTAAGGCCCTCGTTATACTGAAATCATGAACCCTTCACAGTTAAGTACCGATACTAGGATAAATTGTTTAGGTTCTTAAGTCTAAAGATTGATCTTTAAATTCATGCTCTGGTTCACCATACAGGGAGTGCTTGAGGTTGAAGACCATCTAGGTTGGGCAGATGACACAAATGACTCGTTAAGTCGAAGGATGAGTTATGGACACATCAAAAGTTCATCTCATTGGAGAGGGGGGGAAGCACTCTTCAAGCCTTCTGACGCCACTTTTTTTCTACAACGACATAGAACGATGAGCATTTTCTGGTATAGAAATAATTCTTTTCTTCACTTTAGAGAAGTAAAATTGTTCTACCATTAAACAATTTTTTTTAATATAAAAAAAATGGAGTAACATAAACAAGTTTAGACAGTCCATTGTTCTTAGAATAAATTTTGGAATAAGACAATTTAATACAGAAGATAATTAATATATTCGTAATAACAGTATTAGTAAATTAACTACTTTTAATTGTGTTCGAAAGATAACGGTTGTAAGCCTCTCGCTGTAGCTTTCTATGCATTTCAACTTTGGATATTTTCTTCTGTTTAATATTTCTAAATAGTTTTGTTCGTAGTTATACGATTTTAGGTGTTTATTCATACAAATATTAATCCTGATGTTCATAGTATGTTCTGGCAATGGGCATATCCATAAATTACATCTAATCTACATAATTTTTTAAGGGATGAAAAAAAAGACTTGGAAACAACTAACAAAATACCCCACTCATTAGACTGACACCAGTTTCCCATAACGGTGACTTGTAGATGTTAATGTTGTTAAAGAATATGTAAATAATAATCACATGATTTTAAATCTCTTGATCTAAATAGTTCATTGTAGCTTAGCTGGTCTTTGGACTTAACTTCCAGTAACCTGAATCGGAGCAGAAGGTAGAGAAGCTGAAGATTTGAGAACACTACGCTTTTTCTTTGTAAGATACATGTACTTAAACTGGTCAGGATTCGTGGTGTCCGTATAATGAGGTCCTTAAAAGTAAGGATATGAAAATTGGGAATTTATAAACGATGATTAATGTAATCCCTTTCTTTTTTCGAAAGGGGAAAGGAATGAAAGGTAGCAAATTCTATTTTTATTTCGTTATGGTTTTGTTTTCGGTTAACCTATTCTTTCTATTGTTTAGTTAACGTATACAATTTTAGTTTTACGTTTAAACGCTACTTCGCATTCTACTTAACTACGTCATTTAAAGTTTTTAATTGCTGACTGACACCAGTTTCCTGTATCAGTAACTTGCAGATATTAATATTTCAAAATAATATGTAAATATTAATATCAATTTTTAATATTTTCAGTAAGTTGTGTCAAGAGATAGTAATTGTTATTAGTTATTATTGACAACTTTATAAACTGTAGTTTTGTACATATTGTATTTTCTAATTCTTCTTAAAATTGATGTGAATAACTAGATTGAGAATTAGCGTTTACAAGTAAAACTAAATAGTCACTGCTTAAACAAACGAGAGAATGAATATATAAACGGTTAACAAATCTAAAACTAAATAAAAATTGAAGCTGCTACTTCACTCCTTCCCCTTTAGAAAAACAAAGGGATTACATTAATCACCGTTTAAAATACCTAATTTTAGTATCCTTACTTTTAACGCCCTCATTATATTGACATCGTCAATCATTAACAATTTAAATACAAATACCTTTCAAGGCGAAATCATTCCCTTTTCTTCTATATTCGGCTTTAGCTTCCGGCTCCAGTTCAGTTTAACGGAAGTTCATGGGTTCCAAGACCAACTAATTTGTGATAATTAACTAAACTACTCACATTAAGAGATCAGAATTGATGTGATAATCACGTGCACACTTCCCCAACATTAATACCTGTACGTCACCCCTATGGAAAATTGGCTTCAATTTGATAATTTATACAAGTTTAAAAATTGATGTGAGTAACTAGAATGTGAGTTAGCGTTTAAGTGTAAGTTAAATATTCAGATTAACTAAACGACAGAAGAAATAATTGAATGGTAAACAAAAGTATAACAAAATAAAAACAAAATTTGCTATCTCACACTCCTTCCCTTTTCGGAAACCAAAGTGATTACATTAATCAGTCCTAAAATCCTAATTTTCGTATAGTTACTTTTAACGACCTCGTTATACTGAAATCATGAATCCTGCCCAGTTTAAGTACATATACCTTACAAAGAAAATTCGTGCATATTCTTCCATCTTCACATTGTCTACTTTCTGGCTCAGGTTACGGGACGTCCTTGAGTTCAAAGACAAGCCAAGCTACAATAATTAAGTAGTTAGAACAAGAGATTAATTCATGTTATTATTTACTAACACTAATATCTGTACGTGACCGATATGGGAAACTGGTGTCAGTCTAATAACTCGTAGAATCTAGAAATTGTTGCGATTAGCTAGGAGGTGAGTTAGCATTTAAGTATAAACTAAAAATTGACAGATTAACTAAAGGATAGAAAGAATAAAATAACTAAA